GGAAGCCACGGCCAAGCTCGACCCAGTATAGAGGGGAGATATGGACATGAACGAGTTCAACATGGAGCATTACAAGCTCATGCGAGCTTAATATGAGGCGGCAAAGGGGGTATAACTGCTCTCTTTGCCTTGAATTTTATTTTATTTTATTTTATTTTTTTTGCATCCGACCTTCTTACTTGGAGTAGCATTGCATTGCAATTTGGTTCGGACATTACTCCTGGCCGAGTGAAATAAGAATGTAGGTTCTTTCCTACAACCTTACTCGGACAGGGGTGGAGTACCTTTGGCCGACTAGACTTGAATTCAATGCTCTTTGCTTCAATGCAACTCGAACAGTGGTTCTAACTGAACCCTTTTTCTTGTTTTTCCAGTCACCTACCCTAAGCCTGCGAGGAAGCGATCGACGCCTTCTTCAAAGGATGACGAGTCGTCCAAGGCTCGCAAGGTTTCGGCGTTTAGGACGCCGGCGGCCAAGTCTAGGTCGCGGGTTGTGTCGGCGCAACCTAAAGGATAACAACCCTAGCTAGCACCTAGTGGGGACTCCAAGCCCTCGGAGTCACCTTCTTCCGAGGTGGCCCAAAATGAACCCGTCCACAGGGGCAGAGGGGATGTGCCGACCCTGGACAACACGACCGGCCATGACTCAACTCCGCATGTTGAGTTTTCGGGAACTAAGCCTCCTAGTTCCCAAAGTGAAGAAGATCTGCCCTCCTCGCTCAAGGCGGCCAAGCAGGCCCAGCTGGCGCACCCTCCTGAGGGGTGTCCGCGCTTTGCAAATCTCTTAGATGGTACTTGTACCGATCTCATCGTCTTTTTCCCTTCTGATTTTTCCTTTTCTGCAGAGCCTTAACTTGTTTTTATTTTGTAGAGGCTTCTAAGGATTTGGACGTGGTTCTTCCTTAACTGGGACCGAACACAAGACTGTCCAGCACGCTATTCAGAAGGTCGTCCTGGTCAAGACTCAGGACAAATACCGGGGTATCCATGATGGGCACCTCGGTCCAATGATTAACATATGCGTTGAGGTAATCTTCTAGCTCTTCAACCAATCTACTTAGCCAAATTTTTGTTATTTTGTTTTCCTTTACTAATTCTTTCTGTTCGTACATAGCTTCTCCTTAGGCTCTTTGCCTTCTAGGAATGGCATCTGAGGTAGAGGCACGAGCTTGACGCGGCTTGGATGGATCTCCATAAGTTGTAGGACGAGAACACCGACCTGTTGGTCGTAGAGACGACTCGCTATCAAACGGCGATGAATGCTCTGTCCGAGAAAGTTACTCGGCAGAATGAGGACTTTGTCAAGATGGGCAATGCTCTTAAGCAGGAGAGATTGGCGAACGAGGCCCTTACCAAGGAGAGGGACAAGGCCATCACTCTTGCGGCCAGTAGGAAGGAAGAGGCCGAGGCCTTGGACCAGCTAAGGGCTGAGCTGGAGACCAGTCGGGAAGCCTTGAATGCAGCTTTTCAGGCTGCGGGCGAGAGCAACCAGGAGGCCGAGCGTTTGAGGAAGGAGGAAGAAGAGCTGAAAAATCAGCTAAGTGCTCCAAGTCCTAATCCTCCAGCTGACTTCGTCCGCATCGAACAGATGACACTCACTCGCCTCAAAAACCGTTTTGAGGACGCCTTTGCCATGATGGTGGAACCGGACGAGCTGGCTTATTATTATGAGAAGTTCACCAGAAGGCTGGACTTCCTCACAATGAAGGAAGAGTGCGAGGTTGTCGGTCAACCCTTCTCTCCCTTTGTTGAGACTCCCGGCTACAGCAAAAATGAAGCCGAGGATGAGGTCCCCTTGATGATAATGCGGCCAAGTGAGGAGCCTCTTTTGCAGCTTGTTTTAAGCTTTTTGTCTTCAATTTTTTTATTTTCTATCTTTTATTTTTGGTGAACAATTTTTTTATTGGCCGCCTGTTTTGAGCGGTCTTTGTACGGATTTCACCGCTTTCTGAGCGGTTTTAATTTTACATCAGGTTTTCTGCATTTTCGTACTTAGCAATTTTTATGCATATATATATATATATATATATATGTATATGTATGTATGTATGTATTATTTATATATATATATATATACATACATATACATATATATATATACACATTTTTATGCTTATTGCTCATTCGTACGAATACTGGGGGTATGCCCCTTTATTCGGCGTTTGCCTAGTCCAAATTCCAAGTGGTTTGATTAACTTAGTAGATTTATACCTTGAAATATATATATATATATATATATACATGTATGTATATATATATATATCATTATATATATATATATATGCTTATTTCTCATTCGTACGAATACTGGGGGTATGCCCCTTTATTCGGCGTTTGTCTAGTCCAAATTCCAAGTGGTTTGATTAACTTAGTAGATTTTTACCTTGAAGAGTATGACTACTAGTAAGTTAATCAAATCATATATAATGATTTCCCTTGGACGAGGTGAACGCCGAATTAATTTTAGAGTATACGACCTTTTTTGGCTTTCGATTGAGTCGTCCGTTGAAGCTATCGCTCGAATAAGCTCAAGAAATTTCCAGTATGATCTCAACTTGTGAATTTCCATTTACAGGCCTGGTTGCCTAGGAAATCCTTTCCCTTAACTAGGCAATTTATGCCATAGGAAATTTTTGTTTCCCTCTTGGTCTACCATTTGTCCTTATGGGGTCGAACAGTTAGACTGGCCTTTATGCTTGTTGGCCGAGTGGCTAATCAAGGTATGCTCTTGCTATATTCAATAGTCGGAATTTTATTTAAAAGTTGCTGAGTGATTTGGCTGATGATGCCCTCTCCTAACTTTTTAGTCGGCCGCCACATGACTGGTGGACGAATGCCTAGTGTTAGGATTTTCACTCAGCCAATTCTGTTGATCGCTCGACTTAGTGTGGTTGAGTCAATCCATTATGTTGGACTCTCATTGAGGTCCTACTCGACCTACACTACATGCCCTACGTTGGGAAAGTCTGAGTTGCTATGTTGAGGCATCATTGGTTTCTCTTTTCAGGCGGCCATCAGGCTTATTTTGTGGTGGCGGACCAGCATAATTGTGAACCACCATGTTTTCAATTTCATTTGGCATTTTCAGCTTGCTATAATTATGAACATAAATATAGACAATGAAATTAACAACAATGCTTGACTTTTCATTAATATTTGTCAAAATTTTACATTGTTGGTGGCCGTTCGGCTTAATTACATCGTTCGGCCATGAAGGCTTAGTTAGACTAATTGGTCATAAAGATTGATGCATAATTTGGCTGATAAGCTTTAAAAAAAATACTTTTTCAGATTGTCCATATTCCATGTTCTAGGAATAGCGGACGGTCGTTTAAGACTTCAAGACGATAATTTCCATCTCTCACTTCTTTTGTAATCCGGTAGGGCCTCTCCAAATTTGGGGTTAATTTCTCATCTTCTTTAGCTCGGCCCAACGCTTCCATCTTCCTTAAAACTAGATCCCCCATCTTTAATAAACGCTTAGACACTCGGTATTGTATGCCCTTGTCATCCTCAGATGATAGATTTAGTGTCTGAGTGCCGCATTGCCCCTGGCTTCTGGAAGGAAGTCCAGAGCAGTGTTCGTGGCCTCCCAATTGGCCGATTCATCATATAACATCACCCAAAGGGTAGGCTTGTACATTTCAATTGGGAGTACTTCTTCGGCACCATAGATAAAAAAGAATAGGGTCTCTCATGTGGAACATTTTACTGTTGTTCGAATGGACCATAACACATTAACGAGCTCATCTGCCCACAGGTCGCCCGCTTTCTCAAGCTTACGCTTGATGCCGTTGGAGATTAACTTGTTATAGGCCTCAACTTGGCCATTAGCTTGTGGTCGACCGACCGAGGCAAAACAATAAGCGTTGCCCTGATCTCCCAACCATTCTTTAAGCTGGCACGTTTTGAATTGGGGTTCATTATCAAAAACCATTGACTGTGGCACCCCATGGCGAGTAATTATGTTTTTCCACATGAAAGCTGACACGTCCGTCTACTTGATCCCTCGGACGACCTCGGCTTCAACCCACTTTGTAAAGTAGTCGACTTCTACTAACACATACCGTAACCTAATGCTAGCATGTACGGCCCCAAGATGTCCATGCCTCATTTAGTAAAAGGGAGCGGACTACTTATGGCCGACAAACTGTTGGCCGGGAGATGAATTAGGGTCGTAAACTTCTGGCACTTGTCACATTTTTTAACCATCTACATGGCATATGTGTTTAGGCTCGGCCAGTTGTAGACACCCATTTGTGTCTCCCCAAAACCAAACCCGATGATGAGTACCTTTCACGTCAAATCATAATCGAATGAAGTGAAAGTGTGGAAAGTCTAGTGTTGCGGATAGTTTAAATTTCTTTTCTCGTCTCTCTATTTTTGAAAACCTATTTTAAGAAAACAGCCAATCCAGTTTTGTTGGTCCATGATATGGGTCCATTAATAGTGTAGTTGGTTAGGGCTTGAACAGAGCTTTCCAACGATATATTATAAGCCCAATTCCGATGAAACTTGAGGAAATAATGGCCAAATTACCACTAGTACATAATTGAGTTTACGTAACACGTGTTTGTAACACTTATTAAAGTGCAAAATTAATAGATTTATAAGTAACACTTTGGTAACATTTTTGTAGATTGTAACACTTAATGTAACACTTTTAAAATAAGTAGCATTACAAAGTATCACTTTTCACATAGGTAACATTATAGAGTAACACTTTTAAATAGATAACATTTTATAGTAACACCTAAGAAGTGTTACCTTATTTTATAACATCCCTAACCTATAAAGCTCTAACATGGCATTACTCCTCTTCTCATCTGCTAATTGATTAACTAAAATTAGTTTTGTTCGCTAATAAGGACAACTATGTAAATTACCCTCGTTGCCTTTAGCCTTCTCTAAGGCTTTGTTCTTTTGAGTTACTCTGCTCTACTCTGCCTTACTCTACTCTACTGTGTTGAAATCTACTCTACTCTACTGAAAATCGCTCTGCTGATCTGCTATGTTATGTTCTGTAGTGTGTGGAAGCCATGATATGCTCTTCTTTTCTATGTTTTACTGAAATCTGTTCTGCCTAAAAGCTCAAAAAATTCAAGCCTAAGTTGTAAGTACTACAACTCTTTTTTTTTCTCTTTTTTTTATTTGAGGGGAAAAGTATTACAACTCTACGAGTAATAAAATTCCTCAAAGTATTTTACTTTAAAAAAAGAAAAAAAAAAACTCTACAAGTGACAAAATAAAAACTTGTTTAAAAAAAAACAAAATAAAAACTTTACAGGTTTATATTGCTCGATTCTTTCTCCCACTTAGAAATGATGAACCCTAACATACCTCCAATTGATTGATCGAAACTCCCAAATTGATTGCTCGAATCTCCCAAATTGATTGCTCGAATATTTTATTACTCGATTACTCATTTCTGCTTGATTCCCTTTCGCCTGAAGTGCTTCCAATTGATACGATAGAATTGCTGGATACAATTCTCTCTGCTGCTCAATTTTCGTTTGAGTAATCGCCCAAATCGAAAGTTTCAGGTATCATTTTATTATTGTTTGTTGTGTTTTTGATAGAAGTGGAGAAATTGTGTGATAATTTGTTGAGTTCATGCGATTTGAAAGTAACTTTCAGTTTTGCCATATCAATTTTGTAATTACTGATCGAATTTTCTCTTTTCGCTCGAATTTGCTGCAAGTTAGATATCGCTAATTTGTGATGTTTTTGTTAGATTCTTAATTATATGAGCTAATTTTGTTTATTGTCCTGGTTTATGTTGAAATGCAGTTAATTGATTATTCCATTAAACTTTGAGTTAAATATTACTTTTTTTTCTCGCTAATCCACAGTTTATAATTAACTTTGATGAATGATTATTGATATTTTTGAACTGATTTGCTTCTGTTTGATTGTCTGAATGGATGGTTGAAAAGGATGGAAGGATTGAGGGGGTTAAGAAGAGGGTTTCTGTTGCTAGGTTTTGACTTGTTGATGTTATATTTCGATATTCATTCTACTAAAACTAATGGTATAAATATTTATGAACAATTGGATAGAACTTAATTGGCAGACTATGTATTGATCCCTTGCCTTTAAGACAATCATGTACGAAGTGCTGGGAGTATGATCAGGTATGCCGCATTGTGACAATTAGGTAATCCATTAAGATGCAAACAGGTCTGAACACTATAGTAAATTTCAAAGAACTAACCTCACTCCTTTAATACATTTGGTATAGCTTAGAATTTCTCCAATTTTAGAGACCCGCCAAAACTCTACTCACCCATCCCAGTTTAAGCACTGATATAGTGACATATTAACTTGTAGATTGAAGTATACCCTGATAATTGCAAGCAAAAATCCTTTATGTATTCAGAGCCTTATATTATCTCCTGTATATGTTTGATAACAACTACTCTATAGTAGAAGCTACTAAAATTATCTGACACCAAAACCCATCAAAAAAATAACTTTTGGCAAGACTTATGCTTCCGTGGCTGGGACTACATCTTCATCAGTTGTGTCAAGCAAAACTGTTTCTTTTGCTGGTTCAGTGCCATCTCCCACTACAGCCACCTCTGTTGAATGTAGTAGTTTTTCTCTAAGCTTTGTTTTAAGCTCGTCTTTTTCTCTTACATTTTCAATGAGAAACTTTCTAACTGATCTTTCCCATGTAAATTATGGCAGTTGAATATCACCCTGATTATTTATTAGCTTGTTCTTGACACCCAAACTTATGAGCTCTGCATCCCTACGTATGCCCTTGCCATAGCCCTTGCCATACTCGATTTAAAATTCAGTAGTTCTAAAAGGGGGGTGCATGCTTGTTCTTTAGGATTTTCACAAGGACCTGACTCCCGACAATCTGCAGAATGAAATAGTACATATAGTTAAGGGGAGTCATACACTATTTCAAACGATATTTTTATTAGTTCTTAATGGTTATCCTACCTCTAATTCAATGATTCAATCACTTAAATGTTTCTGCATCCCCTAGCCAGATTTATTTTGCTAATAGCTTTGAAGATAGCTAGGGTCAAGAGTCTACTAAAATTTGTTTACAACAATTAAAAAGTAATGAACTAGAATTAGCAATGTAAACTCTGATAACCAAGCTAATATTTCTAGGGGTCTGACACTCTAAAAATCTATTTGTGATCAATGATGTCCGTCAACTAACTGTCTTGTGTGTTCTTTGTAGGAATCAAGATCTAGATGGACATTATGAGAAAGCTAGACAAGCTAAGCAAGGATAGAACAAAATAGAATCAGAATGAGGGATTTGGGGGTTACATTAATGTTTTATACACTGAAACAGTCGATGAAGGGATCAAAATAAACAAAAAAAAAGTAAAAAGGCGACTAAAGATTCCTACTGAAACAGTGGATGAAGGGATCGAAACAAACAAAAAAATAAGTAAGAAGGTGACTAAAGATACTGACGAGTATACACCCGATGAAAAGGGAGAATTGAACCACTCAAGTGAAGAGGATTAAAATCAGATAAGGAAAAACAGTGTAAACTTGAGGTCTCGTTAAAAAAAGGTTCTTTTTTTTTTCTTTCTTTAATCCTGACATCTAAATTTTTTGAATCACAATTGTAAAAAAATCATGTAATACTTTCATTGTTTTTTAATGAATACTTTATAGCAAGAGATGACGCCATAAGAAGTGTGCATGCTTGCATATATGTATGTGGTTGTTGTTTAGGGAGATACAGAAAAGAAGTTTTTTATCCCCAGGATTGAAAAGATTGGAGCTGCCCGCTAAGCTTATTGTTACTGCTGTTGCAGTCTCTTATTGTTAGCGTTGTTTTTCTGCTGCTGTCACTTACGGTTACTGCTGTTTTGCAGCTGCTACTGTTGTTTTTTGTTGTTGCTTCTGCTACTTTTTGGTGCTACTCCTGTTTTTTTGCTGCTACTGCTGTTTTTTTGCTGCTACTGCTCTTTGTTGCTGACTCTTGCTGGTGCTGTTTGCTGCCACTGCTTCCTGCCACTTTTATTTGCTGCTACATGATGTCTGCTAGAAGCTCTGTTGCTGCTGATGTTGCAATTATTCTAGCATTTGTTTCTTTAATTTTTTTTTCACTTTTTTTAGATAGAGATCGAAGTTAATTTTCTTTTTGTTTTGGTTATCATCTTGTTTGGCCAAACATTAAAATTGGTGTGTATGGATTTTTTTTTTGAAAGAATTATGAAATTATTTCAATTCAAATATTATCTATCATATTTGTTAGTTTCTCATTCTTTATTGTTAATTTTATTTTATATTTAATAATAATAATAATAATAATAATAATAATAACAATAATAATAATAAATATAAATGTTACCTATTAATGAATAAGTGATACATAATGTCGAATACTGTGCTTACTATATGTCAAAAGATGATCGAAAAATGTTACCTTATAATAAACAAAACTGTTACATTAGTTTAAAAAGTGATACATAATGTCGGATAAAGTGATACTATATGATTGAAAAATGTTACTAAAGATAAGTAAGTGTTACGTAAGAAATAAAAAGTAACACTTTAAAAATGATACTAAAAATGTAAAAAGTGTTACATAAAGAGGGTTTATAGTATCACTATTGAAAGTGTTACCATATATTACCCAAAGTGTTACATAAGACCTTAGGTAACATGGGCGGAAGTATCACCCAATAAAGTGTTACATATTGTCTATAATAACACTTTTACCACTTTATGTAACACTTTTTGGGTGTTACTTGAAGTTAGTTTTGTACTAGTGTACTAAACTGGGCCCGGTTTGAGCTTTATATGCGGCCCAATGATTTAGGGGAGGGCCTAATATGGATTTATCATTCTTAATGCAATTAGGAATGGTTTTAGTCTTCTAGAAGGTTCTTTTCATTCCTAATTCAATTAGCATTGATAAATTGACTTTTGTTGACTTTTGGAATTTTAATTAGAATAAAAGAGTGTTTTGAGGAAAATACGATTTTATCCTCCTGTACGGTTAAATTTTATCTAATTTTAGAAAACGCGTCAAAAAACTGATTAGCGCCTAACGCCAGCATTAGCGCTTGACGCTAAGCTTGGCGCCTGGCGCTAACTCCGTTTTTTCACGTCAAGAACTCTGTTTCGATTTTCTATCTTTTTGGCTGATTTTCTCTATAAATAGTCTCCTAAAAACTCCGTTTTGAATGATCTACAATCATCAACTCCTTAGTTCTCTAATTCTCTTCTATCTTAAAGCTAAAAGCTTGCTTTCTCCCTTTTTTCTAAACCACCCTTTACACAAAATTCCGCATTCACAAGACCTAGGAACAGCTAGCATAGTTCGAAGTTGCCTTCGCCCTAGACGTGAAAGGTTTTAATTTCTGAGGGTTTGGCCACAAATATTTTTTTCAATTATTTAATTTAATTGTTGTTTTATTATTTTACTTGAAGTTACTAACGTGTGTATTTTGTTATTAGAAAGAGATACGAGGCTTCCAAGTAAGTGCTTTAATTGATTCATTGATATTATGATATAGAAATCATGTCTAGGTTGTTATTATGATTCCTAGTGTCATGTTAGGGTCTTTTGATCTTCCTAGTATCATGTTTAGGGTAATAACTATAATTTCTAATGTCAAATATGACAATTGTGATTCCTGCGATGCTTCCTAATATGCATGTTAGTATCATGTTAGGGTTAAAGCTTTGATTTTTATTGTTTAGTGACATGCTAGAGTTTGTTATTAATCTTGTTAGTATCATGCCTAGGATCTTGCTATTATTATGCTTTGACATGAATATTATGATTATAATTGTTATGATGATGATTCATGATTATTTTTATAATTATCATAATTATCATTATTTATTATGATAATTATTATGTTACTTGATTATGTTTATTATTATTGCTTGATCACACCTTTTATGCATGTTTAAAGGGAATTTGTACTTGTAATCACGCTTAATAAGATAATTAATAATCTTGTTTAGGGTTAATTTGATTATAATTCAAGTGATCGCCAATAAAAGTTTTATTTGTGCATTAATATTCAACCAACATAGATTAAACAGGTTTAGGGTTAATCCTATTGATTGCATGTTAGTCAGAAAGCGCACAAGAATACAATCAGAATAAAGTAGAGGCCTATTATTAGGGCAGGTTCAATCTCTTTTAGGTTGGATTTGTACCTTCATCCCCGAACTACCAATCATGGTTCCAGACCTATTGGAGTTGACGATCTCCTGGATCGTTAAGGGGTGTAACCTTCACCCTGTGAACGGTTTACAAGTTCCTAAAACTTGTTGGCGACTCTTTTGCTCTATCTTGTTTCCCTTTGGACGCCACCATACTTAAGTGTATGATCACAGTGGGGTTCAAGCTAGGGGTAATGCTTGAAATATTCCCTACAGTTTTTTGGCGACTCCACTAGGAAGGATTTCTATTTTAATTCCTGAAATTTATTTCGGAAATGATTTAGAATGACGGGATGAGACTACAAAAGCTCTAAGTATTTCATGTGCGTAATTTTGATTTACATTATTGTCATATGCATAAAAAATATCTCATTAGAAAGACCATCTGTAATGAGTTAAAACATAGGTTTTTTACACGTAGGAAATTTGAGGAATATCTTTCACAACTAGGATCGAAATAATGCTGCGCGAAACTGGAAAATTTTATCGAGCACAGAAAGCTGCTGAGGCAAGTAGGAACTAGCGTCAGCGAACAAAGACTAGCGCTAACATTTTGACGTTAGCGCCAGGAGACAGATTCTGTCGCCAGGCGCTAAAGCCAAAAGGTGGCGTTGTACTCTGTTTGCTGGCGCCAAGTTCTTCCAATACCGAGCCAGAAATATGCGTTCTAATTTTGACCAGTTTTTAGCACTGTTTGCTCGATACTACTTCCTGATTGAGTTTTTCTCACTTTTCTGAAACCCATATGTGTTCTAAATATGGACATAACCCCCTGCAAATTCATGCTCCATCTACCTGATTGAACGCTCTGTGCAACAAGGGGTACATCCGAGAATGTTGAATTCACCAAACCATGGAAGCGAGTTTTTCTAAACTCGCAGTGTCCCATCCACTCGCGCCAACCCTTCACGGTTAGGCTTCCGCGCGGTGAATTCGGACAATTAACCATGGACCCTCTTTTGACTAACCCATATCCCGAACTTTAGAGAACTAGAGTCTTTGTTAGGTTGCAAACTCATTGCATCATGTTGTGACTACTTGACTACTTGTGCATTCTTTGCTTGTGCATACTCTGTGTTTTTCCTAACCGTTTGTTTGACTTGTGATAAAGCCTAAATAAACTAATTAATGACTAAAGGAATTTTTTTCATTAATTAATTAATTAATTTGAGCTAATAAATATGTCTAAAATCGAGTCATAGTCCCTTTAAGTCAACCCGGATTTTTATCCCCGTATACTGCACAAGCGTAAACTTGTTTTGGTCATATCTGGAGTTCTAGAAAGAGTTACGAGTCGTAGAACTTATGGATCTGTAGCCCCGAGTTTTATCTTTAATCTGGCGTTGGTTTCATTCCAATCAGAATCACAGATCAAAAGTTATGACTAAAATATTATAACCTGTCCAGTTTAATGCATATACATGAAGTCTTAAATTAGTCTTTGCTTGAGTCTAGTCACATAGTCTAGCCACATGGTCATGACACGAGTCTTAACATGTCACCTACACTCACTAGTCTTAGCAAACATTTTGAGTATATGTCACCATGACCATGTCTAAGGTTCATGCATGAGTCGGTTTTTTCCGTCATTTGAGTTGGGGGTACATTCTATTCCTAATTTTTTATTCATATCTCTCCATCTACATCATCTTTCTCCGTATCACAATATTCATTCTTCCCACCTTCTTCCATCCATGTATGTTGAATCGAGTTTGAGCCATGTGATTGACAATAATAATAAAAAAAAGAGTAATGATGAGACAAAACACAAGGCAAGCTTCTCACCAAGATTTCATGATTTCTTCTTCTTTTTTTCAAACCTTTCCCCAATAAGTCTAGCATAGGCACCCTTTGTCTTCCTTAGATTTTTTTCATAAGTTTTTTTCCCCTTTAATAAAATGAGCATTTATTTCCTTGCATATGATCATCGCATTGCATTGCATTTTAATAAAAAAAATAAAAAAAAATCTATGTCAAACTAAGCACAAGGTATACCAATGATTTGAGGCACCCCTTGTAGCCACATCATATTACCTTTCACCCTTCAAATATACGATCCTTTCTTGATACACAACTTTGAGCCTCGTCTAACGATAGACCTTTCATTTTTCAACCTACATCTACCTAACTTTGGGATGGGATAGTGTGCAACTTATGCAGTTTTCAATATCATAAAAAGCTTGAGTGACTTCAAAGGATTAAAATAGCAAAAATAGAAAAATAAATAAATAAAAGTGTACAAAAGGGCAAATGTTCCAATGTCTTTGATATGAATATGTCTTTGATATGAACACGTCTCAGATTACGTCTCTTATCGAGTGCTCGGTACCGTGCCTGAGAAACATGAATGCCAAGTGAGTGATAGACCGCATAATCGGGGTTGCCGAAACTTATAAAAATAAAATAAATGCTAAAGAAAAAAGAAATAAAAAAGAGTGAGAAACCTCAAGCATGAAAATATAAAGATTCAAAAGCAAGGTTGCACACCTTGGGGGCTTATCTAGGGTGTTGAGCTTTTATCCCCTTCTTCTTCAAACCTTTAGCCTAACCACATTACAACCCTTCAAAAGACCTTTTTGAGGTATACACACACTTGTGCAAGGTTCGGCTAGAGCTACGTTCGGCCTGATTCCTAACGGATACGTAGGCAACCTCACATCGAGGTGCGGCCATAATAAAAATGCATTCATATTCACATTCACACACTCACACCACGATCATATCAAGGGATCTCCAATACTCATCCCTATCTATTTAGAGCTAGACTTGGGGGCCTGATCCCTACATCATTAGCCTATCTAGCCTAAGAGTCACCATTATTTGACTCCTCTAAAAATAATATCTTTCCACACACTTAGCTCTTGCGGCCTAACTTTAGTATCACTATCACACACTACACATATACTTGACCAAATATACTTCCCTTAGGAACCCTTTGTCATGAAATCTTAACACAACGTTGAAGCATGCGTTGTCATATCAACATTAATCATTAATCATCAATCATAATCATCATTGCATCACAAAGTATAAAGTGCTTAGCCTCCGTGCCTAAGTTATCCAAATACTTTCAT